GGTATAAGATGATTTAGACATATACAGAGAATGAATGGAAGAAGATACACGAAACGAGAATACAAGTTAAGTAGTGGATGGAAGAGTTGGAAAAAAGTCGAAAACTTAGCGAACGTACCTTAATCAGATCGAAAACGTTCTCACTAAAAGCCAGCATCTAATTAAGTGTATAACAGTATAAATATCTATATAATTTAAGTTTAAAAAATGTGGCTCTGTAAAGAGATTTCAGTGTTGAACTGTTGATAATTGACTCTGTTGACTAATGAGTTTGCCTTCACTGGCCAAAGGAATATAAAACTGGTGAACTGAGACAACTTTGTGTGCCATCTCAAACCTTTTCTGCAGCATGCACTATGCCCTAAAAGGCTGAATTGCTATTATGCCCAAAAGTGTGTATACATGTTTATTATGTAAAGATTTGAAACACTTTTTTTTTTTACTGTTTTTGAAATTATTAACTTTGTGTTTCATGTTCAGTTTCAGCAGTTTTCTTAAAATGTTGATTAAAGAGTTACTGTTTATTACATTTGCTATTCCTTATTACTGCACTAGAGGTTATGATTCTGTGTACATTAATTAGCAGCATGTTTAAATTCTTGGTTAAAGGTCTTCAAGTTAGTTTAATAATTATTTATTGTATACCTTTTTCATATTCATCTTAAATTTCAGAAGAAATTTACATCCCAGTTTAGTGCTTTGAAGCAACATATATGTAAATATTCCATATTATGTACTGACTATTGAAATGCATTTTTATTTCTTTTTTGCAGGACATTTTGCAGTTTGAAGTCTATGTACTACTGAGGTAAAAAAAAAAATTTTTGATATCTAATCTGAAAATGAAATATTTTTTCATAGGCAATGATTCAGTTTTTGACAATTGCATTCTAAATTAGAATTTTAAGCACATGTGTGAAAACAGGAAAGTGCTTTCCAGGATTTAATTTTAAAAAAAGTGAATTTTTATTTTGAGAAATCATCTTAAATTTATTTAATAAAGATCATGGTAAATGATTCCAAAATTTTTGGTGCATGTTTTACTTGTCCCCACGACTTTCTGAGTTGTCCTGCTGTAGATAATTTCTACATAACCACTGAACTTCTGTGATTCTGATTAATTCAGGCTCCAAAGGACTGTATGTTTGTGTCATTATTTGACTTTTAGGAAAGTGATTAATCTATAAACCTCATGTTTATATAAAAATTTACTGTGGTTTGAAAATATGAGTCTTGTATATTAGTGGCTCTTTTAAATATAAGCCACAACTTGCTTAAAAATATCTTATGCAGTTAATGCCACACCTTTGAACATAAAAGAACATCTTCAGAATTATTTTTATTTCTTGCATTTGCTGCAAACATGAAAGAAAAGAAAAATCTTATATTCTATTAAATTTTGCCACTGTTAAACATTTCTGTAGTAGAAGATAAGCATGTTTTGTTTGACATAGTTAGAAGTATTAAATATATATGTGATGCATGCACAATTGAAATCTACAAAATAAATTTTGTTATATATAAAATTAAGTTAAAGTAAAACAACAAACAATAACATTGCAAAATTGAAAATTTACTCTTACAAACACTTAAAAAAAGTGAGAATAAAATGCATTAAAGATTTTATTAATTTTTTTATAATTTAAAAAAGTATCTCTTCATATAGTATTAATAAATATTATTGTACAATATAAATAAAATTGAAAGAATTTCATCTAATTAATTCTCTGTAATTTTTTTTTTTTTTTTTTTTTTTTTTTTTTTTTTGAAAATGTTTAAGTTAAAGATAAATGTGGAAACTCGTTGGAGACCTTATAAGAGATAGATTAACCCAGTGGGCGGGGTCGCGTCACTGACATGTCAGCAAGAAAGAGTACGGACGATCTGGTTTTCTTTAACACTGGAAACGTTTGTATCACATAACTCTTTTTAATTATTAATTGCGATATGTTGCACAGTGATGAGATTATGAAAGCCACAGTTTTTTCCCAATAGTATTTAATATATCTCATTAAAGCACTTTTTACTGCATATCGCAAATTTTTTTCACGCGTAATTCTTGTACAAACATCTCTACTTTGGTAAAATGGTAAAAACTCTAGGCACAAAATTTATGAACTTAATTTTGCGTACAAATAACGTAAAATTAAATAAGATTGATAGTACGTGATGCTTTGAAATAAATACGGTAAAATTAAACAAGGTCTGAGAACTTTTTTAAAAAATTTAATAACCATTTTCAAGCAGTGATTTTCAAAGCTATAATAACATTACAAAACAATCATTTATTTGATTATATCATCATTAACTTATTAACATTAAAGTGGAGTATTTATTTTAGTAACTTATAAGATTCAAAGCATAAAATTTTCTGAGAGTAATGAAGGGGGGGAAGGTAAAATGAAATCTAGAAGCACTCAGATTTTATATTACGCCCAAAAGGAAACTTTTTTTAATGTTTTGTGTGTTAACTATATTTACTGAATATCATGTTCTTCGCCCGTAAACCACATACATTTGAAAGCAGCATATCTTTAGAATTTCTGCACTGGAGATAAAAACTGTATTTTCCGTACAGTGCTCTCTCTGAACTCGTTGAGTTTTTTAATCAAAAATTCGTTAAAGTTTTACAAAATATGAAATAGATTAAAACAAATTCGAAATTCGGCCGTCCAGATGCCCATGTTCGGGTGGAGGATTACATTATTCAAAAATTGATGCCTCTAGATAGTGTCGTTTTTGTCATGATGCGAGAAACATACATGTATTCATGCAGATTCTTCATTATTTAATTTCTTTAAATATAATAATACAAGGCAATAATATTTGGTGGCAACAATTTGCAAGGAGACACGGACATTTATAGTAAAACAGCGCAAAATGCCGCTTCAAAACTAACAGCCTTTCTAGGCTACCGCCCCTTTGGGCTAATAAATTAAATAAACAATAAATAAAAAAATCTTATGCAGACTAAAAATAATCACTATAAAATACAAGCAAATTAATTATTACGGTTAAATACAATTTTAATATTAGAATTAAATGTATAAAAATTAAGGAGTTAAAAGTGTTTATCATTATGATTTATTTATGAAATATAATTGAAATAAAATTCCTTTATAGAAATTGTGCTGTAATACTCATCTATAATTTAAAAAAAAGCAGCACAATTTAGGAATTTTAAACAAAACTTTTCAAAAATTCGTTTTAAATATTTAGTACTTATTTACAGCAATAAAAAGCATAAAAATTGCTTGTTTGAAATTTTCTGTTAGTTCAGATTTAAAATATTATTTTCTAAAAGTAGTAGTTATGAATGAATGAATACGAATTACCTTACAGCATTGGAAAAGCTAAAAAAATATCTAGCCCTGAAAGCATTCAATAGCTTTATAATTATTTGGAACATTAATTATGCTTGATAAATATGCTAAATTTTTAAAAATCAATCTCAATTTCAAAAATAAAAATATGTAGAAATTCTAATTTGTGAAATGAGGCACTACAACCAGCTTTTTCTTGACAATTATACACGCTGCAATAGCCAACCAATGTTAAATTTCTGCAAGTCGTCCCTACTCCTCCGTATGTGATCAAGGTGACAGCCGGCAACGCCTTAGACGAGGGAGAAGACCCGTTTGGGTTAGTCTATTTCTTATAAGGTCCATGATTGGAGATCGTAACAAAATCTGAAAACCATATTTTCGGGTCATGTCTCTCCCCCCCCCAAAAAAAAAATAAGCAAAATTTCAAAGTGCGCCCATTATATAAATTCATATGTGTCTTCAGAAATGTTTAATAAAAAACTAATATTTTTGAAGATATACCTAGAAATACTTCTACTTTTAAAGATGATCGTGTAAAAATTTTATAGGTTATAATTCAGATTTTTTTTCAAAAAATTTATAAAAATTGTTAAGAAATACAAATTTAAAAAATAAATCAGAAAAAGTGTGCAAATTTTATTTGGATTGAAACTAAATTTTGGATTGTGAAAGAAAGAATCAAGTAAATTTAATTTTAGAAAAATCAAGTAAATTTTATAAATATCTACCAAATTCAATTAACAGTGAGTAGCTAACATTTTAAGAGCTTGATTTTTTAAAAAACTATGCATGATATTTTTACAAAATTTGGCATTTTGGCATAATTTGAGGTGTAGAATCGAAATATAGAAAAAAAATTGTATGTTTTTTCAGAAAAGTCTGATTTTGTGTTGAAGTTATACCTTTGTTAGAACAACTGTTAAGTCTTGTTTTTTAAATGTAAGAAAACTCAATCTGAATTTTGTCAATTGGCCCAGTAGATAAGGAGATATAGCTATCCTTCCTTTTTTTTTTTTTTTTTTTTTTGTTGTTGTTCCCCTTTTGAATGGCTATACATTTAGTAGTTTAAAATAGTCCTTTAAGAAAATGATCTGAATATCTGGATGTTGCGGAATGTGCAATATTGTGAATCCTTGTGTCTGCTTCCTTGCATAAATGGTGTCACTGACAGCATAAAATAAATATTGATAATTATGACATTATTTTCTATGCTTATCTACTCCTAACTGATTCATGATTACCAACTATATATATGTATGAAGGTAACCACCAAAATTTTAATTATGTTATTAAAATGATAGTTTAAATGTGCTAAATAAACCTTTTAATAAATTTCAGATTCTTGTTGAAGGAACATTCTTTAAAATAGTTAAATTATTTCTTAATTATTTTGTTTTTCATATAAAACTCTTTGAATAATCACATTTTTTATGACTTACAGCAATTTTTCACTTTCTTTCTAAGTAGCTAAGAATATTTAACGATTCCATGTTTAAATAACACCCATGGTACATGAAGCTATCATTAATGCTCTCCCTCCCTTCATATCACTTCTAATAAATAACAAATTTTAGACCTCGGAATTGTTAAATCATTTAAACTTTGGTAGGTGATTCTTGTTTCACGTGTATGATTAATTCTTGCTATTAATTATAATTCCTTTTTTTCCTACAGTTACGAATGGCTTGAACTGAAAATGTAACTGTATCAAAGGAGCATATTGGTAAGCATTTTAACTCTATATGCTTCCATTTTAATCATTTAACTTCACATCAAACTTTTTTCCCTCCTTACTTATAATGAAACATTTCTGTATTATGATATCCTGTGCTTATCTTATTCCATTATGCTAATTATCATCAAATTGTATTAATTAAAACAACTATTAGATTCATATCATACCTGAATATTTTGCTAAATACTTGCATCTCTGTAGTGTGTTTCTTAACCCCTTAACGCATTTGCCCGTGTTTCACACGGGCGAAAGTTTCCGGCAAATTTGCACATGCCCGTGTCTCACACTGGCGCCCTTGTATCTCGCGTTATTTTATTTCTAATGCTTGTCTGAGATCCGTTCCAGTAAAAATAAATAGGCTAGATTATAATTAAACTTATTTGACATAGATGGTACCACTATTCAGCATTTTTCTTGTGTAAACCACGTGGCGCATTTTGATGATTAGCTATAAGTTTGCTAGGAATTCTTTGCTATAAAGTAGTCGTTTGGTGTGGAAAAGGTAATACATCCATTTTTATTACGTAAATATAATAAAAGTAAGCAGTTAACTGCAAATTATATTACTAAGTGTTTTTGTAATTTAAAAAAGTTATCTGATAATGAGCGACTCTGACGATGACAATTTTGAATATGCCAATTATCAGACAGTTTCAGCGATGAGAGTGATGATTTCTTGAGTGATGGAAGTGAATCGGAAGATAATGACAACGAGATTTTGGATATAGCAAGGAATTGGTATCAAATTAGTAATTTTTAATTAAATTTTAGTTAAAAAATTACTTTTATTTGTCGATCATGTCTTAAAATGCACTAGAGAATATGATTATGCAAGGAAAAAATAGGTGATTTTTTGACCGAAAATTAGAAATTAATGTGTGCCTTAAGGGGTTAAGGTAATACAGATTTATAATTTCTTCCTCGGAGAAAAGAAATTAGTAAGACATGCTTTCTCAAAAACTGTTTTTTTAAGGCATTTATCCCCTTTTTATTCAAAGTAATTAATGGCTTTTTGTTTTCTAAATGTCTGATCATTAAATGTTTGATTTGTGGTCGGTTTCATGCTTTTGAGTTCCATTGGCTGTAAAACATGCATTCATTTTATTAAAACATTTTTCTGATTTTGGTATAATGAAAAAATTATGTAAAGCCATGTAGTATTTATTTAATAGCATGTAAAATCTGGTTTTGTAATCATTGGGATGGTGGCTCATGCTGTGTAGGATGAATGAAATTATTCAGAAAAAGAACATGAATGAACTCAAAGCTTAGCATTTTTTACCCGATTATTATCTTTTCAACATGATTTTCAGAATTCTTAATTTTAAGCTGTTTGAATTGCTTGTAGAGTTGTTTAGTACTTTAATTTTCCTGTTGGCCATTTTTCGTAAACAGAAACTCGCCAAACGCATAAAATTTTTTACTTTGATTTCATGTAACCATGATTAATCCTTGATGAGCCTAGTTTTGTTATTGAATATCATAAATTAACAACTGTTCCTCCATTTCTCTCTTTCATTTTGTATTTTTAATTTATTTTTAGCTGGTTGTCCATACCTTTGGATATTGGACGTCCAGATTTCAAACGATGTATTGTAATACAAAAACATTTCAAATGATGCTAATATTTGGCACTTTTAAATTTTTAAATTCAGTTTAGTATGTAAGTCCCTCTGTCCCTGTAGTTAAATTTAGGAAAATTTTTATACTCACAAAAAATAAAATGCTGCAAAAATTGAGCAATTTATTTCATTTTAAAATTGGAGATTTTTGGCATCATTTTTGGCTTGCCTTGGAGTATAAATTTAATTAAAATGATTCAACATGGATTTTTCCCTTCAATTGTAATTCTGTCTTTTTGAGAATACTATATAATATTCTTTATATAATTCTTTATAATTCTGTATGCTGAAAAAATTTTTACCCGAGCAATTTGTGTTTTGAAAGTCCAAAAATCACAATGTCCAGTATCTGGAATGATCTAATATCCGGATCCCTGGAATTTTTCTTACTGAGTGTAGGAATGAAAAATTCAGTAGAAAGTACAAAATCTGGATGTCCGATACCCGGAATGATCTAAAATCCAGATATTTCGATCACCAGCAACCTTCCCCTCTCTTCACTTTGTCATTTTTTTATGCTTACAAATTTTATATTTTTTCATAATAAAATATGTGGAGAATCCCAATTTGTAATATCATTTTGGCACTGATGCCAACCTGGCGAATAATTATTTTTTGCTTCCATCACTGAATGAAAGTATCAACACACTGCAGCTTGAGAAGTGAGGTGCGATGTATAAACACACACATACACTGGTGTGCAAAAATTAAGGACGAGACGGTTTTTTCAATATAACTTCGTACAAAAGCTTTCCAAATCAACACATTTAATACCGTAATATCCCCAATACATAAGGACATGAGTAATGTAAGCAACACTTACTAAAAGAGAAATCAGAGGGATAAAAAGAAGCTTTATTGAAAAAGTAGTATGGAGAGCAATGCGACTGAAGGCCGAAATATCCCTGTGATGGGTGTCCAGCAAGAAACATCCGGTCTTTAATAGGGGATATGATCTCCCCTGACTGCTAGGCAGGTTTCACAGCATCTGCCCATGCTGAGAATGAGGGTGTCAATGAGTTGTTGAGGCATTGCTGCCCATTCGTCTTGTAGCGCCAATCGAAGCTCCGGAATCGTTACTGGTGGTAAGGTACGAGCTGCCAAGCGTCTGCCTAGAAAATCCCATACATGCTCGATGGGATTGAGATCTGGAGATTGTGCCGGCCAATCCATACGTTCAATATCCTCACTCATACTCAAAAAAGGTATGCAGTTACCTTTAAAAAAATTAACTTATTTTCTGTCTTATGTACACAGGGTTCGGAGCAGTCCTTATAAGTCCTTATATTTGAAAATAAAATATAAAGGCCCTTATAGGTGCTTACTTTTTCTTTAAAGCCCTTATTTTTTTTTGTTTTTAGTGCTTATTTTTTGCTTTTAGTGCTTTTTTTTTATAATATATAAACGCGCTATTTTCCCCCTACCAAAGCCGAAACTAAATAAACACCTTTTCTTCCTAATATTGAATGTCAGGTGGTGAATCATACTCCCGGAAATAGCTTTTCCCCCTTTCTCTGCATTAACATAACCTTTGGTGCGCACAAAGAGTACAGACAGGTGCCCGTCGTTATATTGGTCAAAGAATTGCGAAAGCAGTAGAAAATTTCGGTACATTCGGCATTCTTTTCCTCTCACCCAAATACTATACACGGTTTAAATTTCTATCCAGATCTTAATAATTTGCATTCTCGTTCCACTTGGTCAGTTCATATTTGTGTTTATTATGATCATTATGCTTATATTATGAGTATATGTATGAATGTTTATAATAACATAGTTACAGTAACTGCTGAAGTATAGTAAACTTCCAAAAATGGTTGTGTTTTAACACAGATTAACTTTCTAAGCAGGGTTTGTACACTTTCTGCACATGGAAATAAGTACTTTTAAGGATCCGTTAATGAAAACAATTAAGGACCTATGAGCAAATGCGAACTGAATAAATTAATTGGACGATATTATCTATGCCTGAGATTTCACCTTTTGTAATACCATCCCAAAAATAAAATAGATCCCTAAGTAGTACGCATTATTACTAAACATGAGTTAATTAACATAATTGTTAATAAGTTTGAGAAAAAAATAAACTATGCAATTTATCAAGTAGCATTAAATATTTTACACTTATGATAGTTGGTCATATTTGAAAGTTTATATCGATTTTCTTCTTTTTTAAACATCTTTTCTAACAATTAGAGGTTTGTCTCAATATGCAAACCAATGCTCTCACTAGTTTCTGCGTGCTTCATCTCCTAACTTGTCAACCTCTCCATAATGTACCTATGAAGGTTTACTTGATCTGGTAAAAGTTAAATAGTCCAAAACCCCCCGACAGACGTGAAGCATATTATCGCTATGTCTGAAAGTAACTACAATATCAGACAAAGGTTTAAATAAGCCTCTTATTTAAAAAGAACTTAGAACATAAAGGCATGTTCTGATGCTAACAAAATCAATTACAGCTCACGGTGACGTAATTAAACAAGAACAGTCAAATTCAAACTAAAAATGTGGATTAGTGGTCAAAGATTATACAATTTAATTTAATCTGGCTCAGTAACTCTACCATATAATGAAATAGAAATGGAAAATTATAGTAAAGGCTGAAATCATAAATAATTGGGTAATTTACATAATAATAACTGCACGTATCTTTGAAGAATAATTTTCTTTATGTATTCAATTTCTTTCTTCAACACGTTTCCTTTTCATTTTAGAATTTTTGGATTTAATTAAGGATTTCTGTTATTCTAAAAAACACTAAATGCATTTAGAATGTACAGAAAAAGTGGCTAATTTTATTTCTTTAGTAACGTGAATACTCAGAAGAAATGTGAAATATATATGGTAAAGGTTACCAGTTACAGAGCTGATGTAGCAGAATTTTTAGAATTAAATGACACACCAAACAACAAAATCTAGAAATGGCAAAACTTTTAGAATTTAGAGCTGGCATTGGAAGCAGAATTTAGAAAGGCACTAGGCAGCAGAATATATATCCACAAGAGACTTGCATCAGGTGGGGAAAATGCCTAGTGCCAGCTATGTGTATGATGCATTAAGACATATTAGATTAATCTTTTAAATTGTAAGTTTTCAATTTCTTTATGAATAAAAAAATCCCTTTCTATAATGCCTGCCCATGTGAAAAGATTAGAAGCATTTTTGATATTTTACATGCTTGTGTCTAGTGAAAAGTAGAGAAAATAAAGAGAAGATAAACATGTTAAGATTCTAATATCAGAAGTAAAACATTCAGATATTATATATTTTTTTGTTGTTGTTGTTCTTCCAGATGTTCTCTAAAAAGTAAGAAACTCATTGCAAACTTTCTGTAAAATACATCCATTACGTGTTGATACCATG